CCTTTGAGGTCCTCCTGAAGTTTTTCCTGAAGTTGCTCGATCTTGGAGGAAGGCGATGTGCTCTTGTTCAACAGAGATGGCTGCTGCAACCAGGTCACTGTAGACTCGATGCCTTAAAGCTACCACTGATTTCTGGATCACACCCTTAAGACCTTTCTCGAACTTTAAGCACTTCATGCGCTCCGGTTCAATCAAGGAAGGAGCAAAACGGGACAGTCCATTGAACTTAGCTTCATATTCCCGCACTGTCATGTCTCCCTGCTGTAGGCCCATGAACTCCATGGCCTTTTCATCTCGATAACTTGGAGGAAAGAATTGCTCATTAAAGAGCGCTTCGAATTGTTCCCAAGTCATCCCTTCTACATCTTACATTCGCCGGATATGCTTCCACCATGCACCTGCAGGACCTTCAAACTTAAAAGCTGCGAACTCCACCCAATACTCATTCGGTACTCCCATGGTACTTAGATGCTTAGACACCGAATCGAACCAATACTCAGCTTCCTCGGGTCCACCCGCGTTAGTGAATACAGGAATTGAACTACGTCTGTACTCACGGAAATAGTTTTGTTTTCTGTCCTCTGCGGGACGTTCATTTTGAGCTCTAGTAGCCATCCCTTGAAAGGCGGCGTACATGGCTTCCATAAATTGCTCATTTGGCATCGCCGATGGGTTAGGATTTCTACGGCGCGGCGGCATTCTCTTATCTGAAAAGAAAGCTAGACTGTTTTAGTGGTTTCCTGATGTCATTCATGTATGCATAATTCCAAACCCTAAGGTTCTAAACCAAGGGCTCTGATACCAAATCTTGTCACGCCCCTAAACCGGGGTTAGTGACGTGGAGGCTCGTTTAGAAACTTAAACCTGTTTGAGAGAGTGATTAGCAAAATAATTTAATTCCTTTCAAATCCAAAACATTCAGGTATTTCCAAACGAGCCCCTGCATTCAAGAGAAATTTAATTTCAAGAACGGTGGTGGAATTTCCAACCAAACCAGTTTTAAAACCACATCACTGGTATCATGTCAGGAATTCCCACAGGGGTTTAGCATACATGAATATAAACATAAGTAAATGTGACATCAACCACAATCTAGCAACATTTAAGTTTACAAACCATAATCTCTTATACATGCCTTGAAATAAAAGATAGAAGGGTTACAACTCTTTGCTTCCCGAGATCAAGTCCACACCACCGGTAATAGCTACCTATTCCGCACCACTCCTCGCGTCGCCTGGAGGGGTTTAATACATTTAAAAACAGAAAAAGGTGAGCGAAAGGCCCAGTAGGATATAAATTTTATAAAGCATTTAAAATAAAGGTACTCACGGTCCGAAGATATACATCCAGAACCGATCATCCCTTTTTAGAAAAGGAAATACTCACAATAGAAA